CCCCCCCCCCCCCCCCCCCTGGAAAATCATCTGTGGTGGCCCATGGTGATGAAAATCAAGTGGGGCAATTTTTGAAAATGCAGTGGAAAAAAAATGACAGACATGGTGTCACTAAAATTTGAATACCTCTTGATCTAAATGAGATAGATCAAAATTTTAAACGGTCGATTCCTACTCAATACTATCTCTGTGTGAAATTTCCAATCTCTAGCTAGCTTAATTAGAAAAAAATCATGTGTGGACCCTATTGTAATTATATATCTATAAGTTGTCGTATACTTGATCAAGTTATGCCAGCCTCTTCAAAGCTACTGTCCATTTTGTTCTAAGTGCCATAGGGACGTAGGCCGTCACAGCGTTTCCAGTGGATATCAAACACCTGTTAATTTCAACGTGTACAGTAAAAACACATGAAACCGGCTGGAGAGCGGAAACTACTTGACTTGCCAAGGACGATTTGGCCTCTGGTCTATCTCACCTGTCCACTGCTGAAGATAAACACCAATCCAGCACCAGCAGCGGTAAGTCCCCATGTAAATAAGGTGCCCATAAAGGCCTGAAATACGGGACTGTGCCCTTCTATCATTTTGAAGATGTTCACATGTGTGACGACACAGGAGTGCAGTTTTGGGTCTCCAACGCTAAAGATTTCTCGGGTTGTTTGCCCGCAGGAGCTCTGTGCATCACTTAAAGAAAGTATTTTTGAGTGGAAGTCACATGAAAAGAATTAAACTTCTGTTTCGCTTTTAACTTGGCTTTTCATTGAAATAAACGTAAAAGTGGAATGGAGACTAAAACAGCAAGGTGATTATAATAATGATGATTTTTTAATTACCACAACAGTACATCTTCAGCACAGGTTGTACTAGTAGCTAGGCCATGCAGTTTGGTTTTGGCAGCATAAACAAGACTATATATTTTAAAAACAAAATCATTTTAGATAAATGACAGGGCCAGCAAAAGGGTTTTCTTTAGTATATGTTTAATGTGTATTGCTATATACATAGCTTATATTTTCAAACTAAATAAGTTTTTAAGGACTGTCAGGCCATGCATATAAATTCCATAAATAAAACTTGATTTCATTTGCTTATTTTGACATTTAAGTCAATTAATTTCCTTATTAAGTTTGGATATTTGAAGAATCTCAAATATATCTGATATCTTAAAAGCATTTTCTACAAATGAGAGCGAAAATCAGTTTTGTTGAGTACTATCATGGCTCGATCGAGTCTTTTCAATGGGCCAAAATTACCAAACTTTCAGAATCACAATTTTATAATCACTAAAATTATATTTCTTTTTAGCATTTGTGGTGCTTGTACTGCAAAGAATAGATCTATATAGTAGCCTTTTAAAATTTGTTGCTACCACTAAATAGAAATGTTTTAATTTTAAGAAATTATAAAAAAAATACAGAAGATTCTGTAAATTCACTATTTTCCCCCCATTGAAAAGATCCCAGTAATTACTGTTCCATAGGACACAATTGGAAGATAATTTACGAAATGCAAATTATAGCAAATTCAATACAAAGAGACAAAAGATGTTTTTCAAATGTTTATTTTTATATATAGAGAGGCTTCTACGACTTCAAAATTACATTCTAAAAGCTTCTCAACTAAAGAATATCAACTGCCTTTTCCATAAATTCATAAAACTCCCACTAATATTGCACACAGTAAAATGTTAAGTCCAAATGTAAATTACCACCTTATCAATAAACTATCCTTGTAAATTTCCCCAAAATTATTGATAATGAATTTTTATTTTTGTTTGGGAACACTTACTCCACATATTTTGGTACTAGTGTTTTCTATGTTTCACTAAGAAAGGGCACTCTCACGATAACAATATAACATTTAGATCTTCTTTGTATATTGTCCACATTAGTTTCATACATATGACACAATAACTGTCTTCTGCTTAAAAGAAAATGTAATCAAGCAATATGCACACTGAAACTACTTTATAACACATGTAAATAAAGAAGAAGCAAATCAGTGAAACTTACAGGTATCAGCAATACTTAAGCAAAGTTCGAGATTTGACAACCAAAATATAATCATGTCAAAATAAAAGTTTTCAGTTTTTTCATAAAAGTTTTACAAAACTGAACAAAAATGTAAAATCATCATAAAAAAATAATGAATGCTTTAAGCATTAACATTTCACTGAGTAAAAGTAAAGAGAAAATATGTCAAACATATTTTTAAAAAAATGTTGATAAAAATAAACACCAACAAAATTATGAACTTTCCAGTTAGAAGGAGAATGTTACTCAAATCCCTCTAGCTTAAAAACCCATGCCCACTGACAAGGTATTTCATGCAAAAATACCCTGGGCATGACAACAGTGAGAGCACTGGGGTCAGTCTTGTGTTGTATTGCCTTGCTAAAGCCCAGCCAAGTCACCTTTGTGGTCGCTTTGGCTTTGGGTGTTTTTAGCAACAATGTTTCTGATTGTGGCCACTTCAAGAGATGTACATAAATCACTAGACCACTTGTTGTCTGCTTTGAAGTATACCTGCAAAATTTAACGAAAACTGATAAGAACATAGTACAGAAAAAGAAAATTGAAAAAGCAACTACTAGTATGTTGCAGAGAAATTTTATAATCTAAAAAGTATACCAGTTTTACAACTTATCCTATGACAATATGTTTTTCTTATAAACTTAGGGTGTCATGTCTCAATAAAAATTTCCTTTAAATAAGAACAATTTGTTGTGTTTCATCCAAGAGGCAACTAATGTATCAAATTTCTGACTTTTTTCTTTACCAAATTGTATCCCCTTCATTCTGTACTCTCCAAGCCCTGGTGCCATAAATAGCTTCTCCATTCACCCCCATCCACTCTCCCATCTGCCTGAACCTTTCTTCAAACACAGGAGGAATCATGCCGTCTGCTGTTGGTCCTACATTCATCAATAGATTCCCACCCTTACTGAAAATAAAGATATAAAGAGACAGACGAGTAACTTGTGAAAAATTTGGATCTGTCCTTGGATCAATTACTATGAAATTTTCATTTATCAAGATCTTATAGACTGTGTAAATTATCTTCAACTATTTTTTAAAAATTGGGAGGAGGAAATATAAATGTAGAGAATGATTTGAAATCTTCACCTTACAGTCTTGATCAGTAGATGCACCAGTTGTTCAATGGTAAAGTAATCTGCTAAGTCAGCATGTCTTCTGTAGCCCCAAGAATTGCGGTCAATGGTCATGCAGTTTTCCCATTTTCTGTGTAACACCGAGTCTAAAAAGCAGAAATAGTATGCTTGAGTTCAGGTGGACATCACAAAAATAGAATTTTGTTCATATGTGCATATTCAATCTTGTGAAATCTGCTTACACTTTTTAATTTCCTCAGTTACTAGTATTAAAACAAATGTTACACCAGTTTTATAAAATTTCTATACAGTAAGTTAGACAAGCATAAAATTGAAATGATGTATGCAGATTATCTGTTATGCCCTTGCATGGAAAAGACCTATAACAGACCTATAACAACTGGAAATCATTTATTCAAGTATGCAGAGCTACATGCCCTCTACCAGCACAAAGAATGAAATACCTGGTGTATATCTGTCAGAGCAGGTTAAAAAACCACCATGTTTGCAATTTGTTTCATTGCCCCACCTGTCATTGGTCACTACATAATCCTTCACAGGACTAGAAAAGACAGCATAATTGAGAAATAAAGTCTAGCATGATTTACACATCTAGGCTCAAGTTAGCCTTCATTTTTCACCTGTTCAAAAAATAACCTTCAGTTAATGAAATGACTTTATCAGTTCATCACTGATTTAGTAAATTAGCTAAAATGATATCAAAAGTTTTAATATCGCAAAAAAAAAATTACTTTGAGGATTTCAGTGTCATGCAAGCTTTTATTTTCATCTTCAAGTGTGAGCGGTAAAATTCAATTCTTCTAAAAGACAGTAGACCATAAACAACAAGAACACTGGTACGAGTTTCAATATTGACAACTGCATTATTCATTAGATAAATAGTATAAAACAGCAATGGTTAAGCTGGAGAACCTACCTCTGATTGTACAGCCATGCCAAGAACTGTGTACTATTCCAGTAGTTGGCTGAAGCTTCCCACTGTCCATCTGCCCACACAATGTCAGGTTTGTAGGTCTCCACTATATCATGAAGCTCTGGCATAAGTTTGGCCTGAAATGAAGAATGTAGTAATACTTGGATGATACAGTATATGGAGAAGATAGATGATTTATTGTAAGAAAACACTAGGTTCTCAAAATTGTTTTACCAGCATTATACAATTAGGAAATTAACCAATAACAATCAAAATTCAAAATCAAATCCTCAAAATCAACACAATAAATGCAATACTTGTGTTCTATTCTGTCCCTGATAGTCTAAATGACTTTATATGAAGAGGTACAACCTTTACATAGTCTTGTGTCCAGTAGCCATTAGCTTTATCTCTCATGTAAAGTGGGTTATACCACTCATAAAGGGAGTGATACAACCCAAACCTCAAGTCTGTATTCTTCCTGATAGCAGCAGACAGATTACCTAAAATATTTATTTTATAAATACATGATGAAATGTAAAAAAGTTTAAAATATTCCTTTCCAATTGTAAACAGGAAAATTAAAGGGGCATTGTACAAATTAATAACCCCCCAGTAAGAGCCTTGCTATAATATTCACTAGAAAAAGGAAGCCAAGGTGGATGGAAGCTGTCTTCTGTGTCTTCTGGAAGACGGTCAGAACTTTTCAAGTTTACATTGACGGGCATCTGATTTTTTCTTTCAGAAGACAACCAAAAATGGAGTATGGATCAAGACAGATAATTTGGAAAACTGTCAGAAAATAGATCTTGATCTGTCCCTGTTGATCATTAATAGGCTGTTTACCTATGATATCAATATGTGGACCATTGTCTACAGAGTTCCAGTTCCAGGAATATTTGGAAGGCCACAGAGCAAAACCATCATGGTGCTTGCTGGTCAGGACCACATATCTACAATATTGATCACAATAAGTATTAATGAAGCACAAATTTCAATCACAGAGGTTTTGTGTTTTGTATAATTCTGCATACCTATGACAATGTCACATATAATTTCTAAATCATGGATCAATCATCAACATGCACGTTTGAGCATTCACAGTGCTGAGTTTTTAAAATATGAATCATATGATATAGCAAAATAGATAATAAATGTCATTTGAAGTGACTGAGTAGTGTGAAACTGTCCTCAAATTTGCTAATAATTTATCCATAAAATTCAATTATATATATATTGCATATATATATGCATCATATATATGAACAAAATTAGGCATACATGGCAGCAATAATATATACTGGTACCATTAGTACTTATAATTCATATATGCAGAGCAATATAGTAACTAAGTATATTACAAAATGTTGTACCAAAACTATGCAACCCATCTCCAGTTTATTTGAAAAACAATAATTACCAACTCCCAACAAATACCACACAACACACTCCACCATGGAGTTTCCATATGTTAAATTACACAAATACCAGAAATACAACTTATATATTCAACATTTATTTTGAAAAAAATAAATAAAATAATGCTACACACTGAGCATACAATGGTTGTGTGGCTGAGAACGAATTTATTTTTCTTACGTATATATTACTTTTCATATTTTATAAATCCCTTATTATCAGGTGCAATATCCAACTGTTTTCGTTGCAAGAAATAAATGCTATTATTATTATTAACATTATCATTATGAAAGAAAAGTTAAGTACCTTGCACCAGATGCCTTGAAGATATTGGCCCATTTCCCAGCATCAAAAAACTCTCCTAAAAACTCTGGAGCAAAATCTGTGTATTCCCATCCAGGTGCTAGTTTCTCTGCAACAAACTTCTTCACACCTTTACCAACATCAACCCTGTATTCTTTATTTTGTTCAAAATATTTCTGAGGTGTCTTCCACCAGTACCAGAACCATTCTGATGAAGTTGCAGCAAAGCCAGGTACAGCATACACCCCCCAATGTATGAAAACCCCAAGCTTTGCTTCTTCATACCATTTGGGAATTGGACGCTTATCTAAAGAATCCCATGTTGCCTTGTACCAACCCTAATAATAAAAATTAAAAACACTTAAAAGAAAGAGAAAAGAATCATTGCAGCCCATCACATAATTATCATATTTACCTTGCCCCCGATGCCTTAAAGATGTCTACCCACTTCTCTGGATTAAAAAACTCTCCTGAAAATTGTGGGGCGAAGTCAGAATACTGCCAGTCAGAGGAAAATTTATCTGCAACAAACTTCTTAACACTTTCCCCAGTTATGACTTTTGCTTTCCTCCGTCTCTGTAAAAAATCCTGGTCAATCTTCCACCAGTACCAGAACCACTCAGATGGCCCATTGACTGCATACCCTGGGACAGCATATACCCCCCAATGTATAAAAATCCCCAACTTGGCATTTTCATACCATGAAGGAATGGGTCTGTTGTCAAGTGATTCCCAATGTGCAGCATATGGATAGGGTACCTGAAAAATTGTTGAGGTTGGAATATTTTCTAGCAAATCTTTCTAAAAATGAGTGCGACTGATTCAACTTCCAGTGTAAATCCACACAGCTGGATCAATCTTTTTTATTTTTTTAAAAGTTTTTTATAAATAATTTACTAAATATATTCAAAAATCCTTTAAAAACATTTATCTTATATATGATTCATTGTGTTTCTGTTGATACATGTACATGCAGATATCAAATGTCATATAAATTATAATCTGCACGTTTTACTCTTTAACCCCTTCATAATACTGCGTCAAAATACCACAGACTGAGACGCAGGTTCATGTATCTTAATTGTCAATAAAATGTGCCCGATGTCTTCCAAGTTATATAGGTCCCTACAACTTCAAGTGCACATTATATATGGACAACCGGTCCATGTTGATATCCATTTTGAGAAGAGAGGCATTAAACCAAGACGAAAATTTACTTCATGTCCATTCTGAATACTAATGTATTTTATCTACGTGAGGCAATGCTTTGTCTGGTATGTACACAACTCGACGCAAACGGATCTTTGTAATTTAGTAATATACTATTATATAGATCTACGGGCCCGAAACCCGAGCCCAAAGATCGAGCAGACATCACGCCCTACTCTGTCATCACAATATCAAAAGACTATATACTAATCGGTCTAACTATCGTAACTATATAGTCTACGTTATTATATCTGTGTGTGTGTTTGTGTGTATACATATTCACGGTTGAGCTTGCACAGAAAACAGAGCAAGTGTGGTTTGAAATCAGAAACCACATTCGAATGAACGTCCCTGAAGTTGAACACCCTACCGTTTGATCAAATTGTGCATCCAAGTTCGTGGTGTCAGCCTCTCTCTTCAACAAGTCCAAGTCTAACGGTGCCCTGACTACACATGGATAAAACACAAAAACCTGGAAAAGTATGAAAATTGTCTGTGCACACACGAACCCGACGATGTAACGTCGGAATCGGAAGGAGGCAGCCATGCGCCTGCCAGGTAAACAAAACATGCCGCGGATCGTGTGGGGGCGCTGCGGG